TTATTCTTGGGATGCGTGCCAGGCTCCGGAAGGTTGCTGATTTCTGATTTGCTACAACAAAGAGCAACAAAGGGGCATGGCAAAGTATTTTCACATATGTATGCATGACTACCCTTCAAGGAGTGTAGTCCTCGATCCCCGTGCCACCAATCACGCATCTCAGTGCATGATGGCCGAGGAGTTGAATTGCACGACTCAATATGAAATGAATGCCCATGAAAACATAACAGCACCTAAACTCCATCATGGGTGATCCGGAGAGTCGGCGACCGGGAATTGAGACACGTTCCGTCACTCGGAGTACGAAACGTCCCTCGTTTCCCGTGCTTGGGCTAACTCCTATCCCAAGCACAATGCAATATGCATGACATGCATGAATGCAATCCTTACATGCAACCTAGCATACGCAATGCTATGAAATGGCACACACAATGCACGATGTAACGAGGCATACACAATGCTCTAACATACAACCTTGCATACGCAATGCTATAAAATGAAATGGCATACACAATGCATAATGGACTTACACTAACATGAGTGGACCTCAGCCACACTCACGTCAGTAGCCATTAGGTGAAAATGAGACTCTCGAAATGCGTGCACGCATGCACGCAAACCGAGAACCGAACCTAAGGCATGACATGCAACTCTAACAAGGCATGGCAAGGCATGGAACAAGGTATGCAAACATGCAAATTTCAGTACTGAAATATGATACAAAATGGTCCCGAATCACAGAAATATGGCACCCGGTGCATGGAATGGTCCCGAAACTCAAAACTGGGCACATGAATTGACCTATAGCTATACAAAACACGCATTATTTGATCATGAAGTCTAAAGACAGAGCCAAGGCAGTCCCAAATCATGAACATTTCTAGTTCAAAGCATGGCCAAAAAATGCTAGCAAGATGGACTAAAATAGCATGCAATTTTGACTAGAAAACATGGTTTACATGGAAAGTATAGGATGCACATGGAATCTCACCAAACCAGAAAAAATCAGTGAATAAAACATGTGAAAATAGGCCCAAATAACCACTGATATGTAACCATGACATGCAAAAATGATGAGTTACTTTAGAGGGTCATGCAAGGAGTCATTAAGCAAATGCAAGATAAACATTTTTCATGGCATAAACAACTATGAAAATCAAATATGGTGGTCCCAAAACTCACCAAATTGACCCTGGAAAGTGACTCCAAAGCATGAAAAATAGTGTCTCTTTGGAAGGCCAAAATGACCACCAAACAAGTCAAGGTGAGAGGGGGTCACCTCCCTCTGATTTGGAGGCTCAAAACAGTGTCTTAGCCACTGAAAATCCATTGGATTTCAGTGGCTATAAGGCCAAACAAAGCATGCAACAAGGGCTTAGGTGAAAGGCTCAAAATAGGAGACAATCAAGCATACAAGGAAGCATATGACCTCAAAAAAAAATTGAACCTCAAACAAAATTGAAGATGAGATTAAAACAAGATATTTTTCAGTTTATGACAACTCTCAAAAACAAACACAAGTAGGGCTAATCTATCATGGAAAAATGGCCCTAAAAGAGAGAATAGAGACAAGGGACAGAAGCTGGCCTCAAACAGTGAAGAACCATTCAACAAAGTTGAAGAGGGGCTAAAAAAAAAACACTTTACAGTTTATGTCAAGCTTCAAAAATAATCACAAGTAGGCCTAAAATATCATGCAAGAAAAAGGCCTAAAAGAGGGACAAAGAGACAAGTGATAGATGCTGGCCTCAAACAGAGGAGAGCCCTTCAACAAAGTTGAATAGGGGCTCAAAATAAGACATTTCACAGTTTATGACCAAGTCCGAAACAGCTCACAAATAAGCCTAAAATATCATGCAAAAAAAGGCCTAAAAGAGAGTTTAAACACAAAGGGTGAGGAGGAGACCTCAAACAGAGAAAGACCCTTAATTAAACATGGAGATAAGCACAAAATATGACTATTTATAGTTTGGGTCGGAGCCCAAAAATGCAAGCAACAAAGGCTAAAATAGCATGCAAGATAGGGCAAGAAAGAGGGAAAATAGGACTCACCCTTGTAGAACCAAGCTTCAACAGCTTTTGGACCAGGTTTGGGAGCTCTTAACCTCTGGAAAACAGCCTCAAGTTGCTGGAATGGAGTGTGGAGGTGTTGTGCTATGGATTGGTGCAAGAATCCTAGGGTTTTGAGGCTTGGAGTAGAGAGAGGGGGGGAGTTAATGCAAGAGGCTCAAAGCAATTTTTGTAACCCTGAAAAATGGAGCTGGGGGGGCTGGTTTTATAGAGGAGAGGAGTGGAGGAAAGGGGGGAAAATCAAATTCAAATTTCCCCCCCAAAAGACCCCCCCTCGGATACAAGATCTGGGGAGAAAATGAGGGCATAGCTGGAAAGAACAAGGTGTGGGGGTCATGGCCGGCCAGGTTCAAAAGGTTCAGGTGGCCGGCCGGCCAAGGGTCAAAAGGGTCAATGCAAATTGTTGACCGGCCATCCCAAAAAGGTGGCCTCCCATGTGTGCACAACACAAATATGTGGTCAAAACCCAGAAAATGTGAACCAGGAGAGAGAAAAGCCAACTTTTTAGAGGGGTTCAAAAGGGTCAGAGACAATTACTGGCCGGCCTATACATATTGGTGGCCTCCCAGGTGTGTACAACACAAATATGGGGTTTAGGGCTAAAAAAAGTGGCTCCGAGGTGGTCAACATTAGCTTTTTAGTGAGGAAAACGGGCGACGGAGAGCGATGAAGAAATAAAGCTGGCTTTTCAGAATAATTGCTAGCCGCCCACCCTCCTACAAGCTTTCTAACAATGAAAAGAAGGTCTCCACCAAAAATGAACCAAAACCGATGTAAAACGAAGGTTCGGGGGCCGAAACACGCAGTTCGGGGCCCCGAAAACAGGCTGTTAGGCACCGGAAGTGGCGTTCAACCACGAAGTTGGTCTCCCAGGCCACAATGTCCCTCTAAAGGGAGGAAATAAGATGTTTTCCAAAAATCGGAGCAAACGGAGGTAGTTAAGCGGTCTCGAACCGAGGCACACGGCCGTCGGCTCCGAAAAACCAGAAACCGGGCTCCAAACGGGAAAAATGGCCTACGACCACGAAACGTAGCCTACGGCCACTGAGAGATGATCTACAAGACCTCTCCTTCCCTTCGGGAAAAGAAAATAGAGAAAACAGAGCCTGGTTCGCAAATCGAGACAAGGCACGAAAGAGTCCGGAAGTCTAGAGGCAAGGCTTGCAGCCGGGACTCTGAAACTTCTGAACGAGCACAAAATGCAATATCACCGAGCGCTCAATCAGTGACGTATGAGTCTTAAGGTCGGTCAAAAATGGGGTGTCTACAGCCCCATGCGTCAATTTTCGCAGGTTAAAGTGGTAACGCGTTCTATGCCGCGTTATGATTCACATGGTATATTTGGTTGCTCAAAACCATTACCGAGTGAATGGGAAATTGAAGCCAAAGTATGCTTCATGGAAATGGAGTTTTGGTGGAAAATCCTTAAAGGTTTGAATAAGGCTTGTCCCACATTGATTTGGTGTGAAGTTTTGAATGGGTTTATAAGGCATAGGATTGGAACTTGGGGTGTGCCCCAAGGGGTACGCAAGTGTTTTAGAGAGGGAGGTTATAGGCTAGACCCATTGGACCAAAAAATCACCACACACGCGCGCCGCCGCAGTCCGTTCGGTCGGTCTGGCTGGGCCAGGCCTGGGCTTGGGCGCGGGTGCGTAGTGTGAGGTTGGATTGGGCTTGTCCGGCCCAATACCTATCTTTTTGGGTCAAAAACATTTGAATTTAATTTAATTTTTCGAAAAATAAAATCCATAATTCAAATTAATTCCGAAAAACTGGTCCGATTTTTTTTTCTGTACACCCAAACAAGTCCCTTCCCGATTTTATCTGTTTGAATTTTCAACCCAACAGATTTAAAAATGTTTAATTCAAAACCCAACAGGTCTGTGCCTGTTCAAACAAGTTTGTACCTGTTTAATTCAAAACCTGCAGCCACCACTACATCTATAAATAGGACAACCCTCATTTGATGTTTTAAATTCAGAAATTTCGTACTTCACCTCTGCAAATTTATTCTTCATTTTCCTGGATTTAATTTTTGTGAGAAAGAGTATAAAACACTTAGTGTGTTTGTTGTACAAATATATTGTAGTGCTGCATATATTTGTTGTTGATCATTTCATCCTGGGAGATAGATGTCCATATTCTGAAAGCACCGCGGAAAGGACGAATCTGTCTTAAGGACACAGTGCCAAACACTGGACTTGATCAGAATACTATCCAAGATATTAATCAAGTAAGTTAATTATTTATTATCTGTTTTATTATTATTTATTTAAATCAAATTTTAATTTTGTTTTGGTAACAAAATAAAATCTGTTTTTATTTATTTAATTATGTTTTTAGTTTGATTTTTGTAATCAAACATTTTTCTCTCCTTTCCTTTATTTCTTTTGTATTCTGTTTGTTGTTAAGTATATAAACAGGATTAATTAATTTAATTACAGTGAAGATTGTCCAACAATTTGTGCTAAAATTAGAAATTTTGATTTGTTGTGATTTGTGCTAAATTTAAATTTTTTTGATTTGTATTAAAATTGGAGATTTTGATTTGTGGGGGCTTGTGATTTTGATTATGAATTTTTATTTTGATTTTTAGTTTTTTCAAACAGCCATAGAGAAATATTTCAAAAGATAATTAAAATCGGAATCATCTCTTCCTCAAGAAGAAGATGACAATTATTCTTCCGCAAAACAAAGTCGCATAGAAATCAACTTAGTAGACTTTCTTGCAGATCCAGGACTACGACCTTGGATTATGAACTATAATGCTACTGATCGAGACCAAATTCATAGGGCATATCTACAAAAAGGACCTTGTCAACCTCGTGATCATAATTTTCCACAAAAATCATTTAGACAAAAACTTCGGCGATTTAATCAGGCTTGGTTTAGTAAATTTTCTGATTGGTTGGAGTATAGTGTAGCAAAAGATGCAGCATTTTGTTTATGTTGTTATCTTTTCAAACCCGATGTTGGAGATCAAGCTGGTGGTGATTCTTTTGTTGGTGAGGGTTTTTCAAATTGGAAGAAAAAAGAAAAAATTCAAACTCATGTTGGAGGTCCCAATAGTACTCATAATCAAACTTCAAGTAAATGTCAAGACTTGTTAAACCAAAATCAACATGTTCAAACAATTTTTTTCAAACAATCACGCTCGAATTGAGTATCGAACCCATTTGAATGCATCCGTCGATTGTGTCAAATTTCTTCTAAGACAAGGACTTGCGTTTTGTGGGCATGATGAATCTGAAAATTCAAGTAACCAGGGAAATTTTCTTGAACTTTTCAAGTTTCTTGCTGATCATAATGAAGATGTCAAAATGGTTACATTGAGCAATGCTCCACAAAATCTCAAGTTGACATCTCCTGATATTCGAAAAGACATTGTGAATGTAACCACATTTGAAATTATCAATGTGATTATTAGAGATCTTGGTGATGCACTTTTTTCTATTTTGATTGATGAAGCCCGTGACATATCAATCAAGGAGCAAATGGTAGTTGTAATATGATACGTTGACAAAAAAAGCCAAGTGATTGAGTGTTTTTTGGGTATTGAGCGTGTTGCTAATACGAATGCTCTCTCACTCAAACAAGCTGTGGAAAATTTATTCTCCAGACTTGGATTGAGTATTTCCAGATTGCGGGGTCAAGGATATGATGGGGCTAGTAATATGTAAGATGAGTTCAATGGTCTTAAAACACTTTTACTGAAAGAGAATCATTGTGCATATTATGTTCATTGTTTTGCTCATCAATTGCAATTGGCACTTGTAGCCGTGGCAAAGAATCATAATCAAATTGTTTTACTTTTCACTTTGGTTTCTAATGTGGTGAATGTTGTTGGAGCATCATGTAAACGCTGAGATATTGTTAGGGAGAAGCAAGCTGCAAAAGTTGCTGAGGCACTTAATACTAGAGAGCTATCTAGTGGGCAAGGCTTAAATCAAGAAACTAATCTTAAACGTGCTGGTGATACACGTTGGGGTTCACACTATGGTACTTTGGTCAGCCTGGCTAGTATGTTTTCAACAGTGATTGATGTGCTTGAAATAATTTTGGAGGATGGTTCAAATTCAGAACAATGAGTAGAAGCAAATGTATTATTAAACTCAATTCAATCATTTGAGTTTGTATTCAACCTTCATTTGATGAAAACGATATTGGCTATTGCAAGTGAGTTATCGCAAGCACTACAAAGGAAAGATCAAAATATTTTTAATGCCATGAATTTAGTTCAAATTTCTAAAGTACGGCTCCAAAAGATGAGGGAGAGTGGGTGAACATCTTTACTTGATGATATTTTGTCTTTTTGTGAAAAGCATAAAATTGATGTTCCCCAAATGGTTGATATGTTTGTAGCTCGAGGGAGAAAAAGGCGCAATGCTCAAGAAATTACAAACTTACATCACTATCGCACTGAGTTATTCTACACTGTTTTAGATATGCAAATTCAAGAACTAAATGCTCATTTCACTGAGTCGAACACTGAGTTATTACTTTGTGTGGCATGTTTGAATCCATCTAACTCTTTCTCTAGTTTTGACAGGAAAAAGTTAATTCATCTTGCTCAATTTTATCCCAAAGAATTTTCTTCAGTGGAGCTAATGGTACTTAATGATCAACTTGATACATATATTATCGACATGCTATCCAGTAGTAAGTTCTCAATGTTGAATGGAATCGCCGATCTTGCTAAGAAAATGGTGGAGACTAGAAGAGACAAAGTATATCCATTAGTGTATTTGTTCTTAACCTTAGCATTAATCTTACCTATTGCAACTGCTACTATTGAGAGGGTATTTCAGCTATGAATATTGTGAAGAATCGGTTGCAGAACCGAATGGGTGATGAATAGTTGAATGATAGCTTGGTTGTCTACATTGAGAGAGATATTTTTGACGACATTGACAATGATACTATCATAGAAAGGTTTCAAAAGATGAAAACTCATCGGGGTCAATTGTAAAAGTTTAAAATTAAAAACTTTTTGTAATGAATATTAATTTTTAATTTTTAACATTAGCTCGAAAAATTATTATTATGTTATTGTTATTGATTGGGAAAGAAAAAACTTGAGATTATAATTAATAGGTGTCCCCCCTATATTAAATTCCTGGCTCCACCATTGGATACGGGAATGGTAAAAATATCCCGGGCAACTTGAGAAAGAATTTTATATCTAGAGGAATTCACATTCCACCTATTCAAAATTTCAAAATGTGAGTTTGGGCCTTCCTTTTCACAAGCATCTTCCAAATATTTATTTGCGTATGACTTTCCACCATCACATTCTTCTTGTGCCAAATGTTTTTGAAACTTTGATTTGAGAGACACTAACTGTTTACTTGCTCCACTAATTGGTTGATCAACTTCAACACAAGTTTGGCTAGAAGAAGAACACATTCCAAATTCAAGCTTTTGATACTCATCATAAATTTGATTCAATGCCTCTCTTACCTTTTTTGTAAGCTCAGTCACAGTGGAGGCTTCATAAAGTTCAGAGTAACAAAAACTAACATATCTCAACTTACAATAGGGATCCAACACAACAAAAATCAACAACATGTTCACTTTTTCAATTTTTCCCCAATACTTATCAAACTTGCTCTTTATTTTCATAGCCATTACATTTAAAGAAGGATGCAAACTCTTTATACATTCAGATAAGAAACCCTCAATTGCACAAACTTCAGTAAAATACATAGTAGAAATAACATACAAAGAACCAGACAAATGAACAGTGGCATCATAGAATTTTTCCAAAAATGAAGTAAAATGCCTAGTATCATCCCAATCTTTGGTGGTAGGAGGTATGTCATTAAGTTCTAAGCAAAAATGTGGATCCTCATTTTCGAATCTTTCAAAAGCTTTTTGAAACTTGAGTGCAGTATTTAACATGAGAAAAGTAGAGTTCCACCGTGTTTGAACATCTAAACACAAAGAACTCTTATGATTAATCCTCTCCTTTTGTACACATGACTTGAAACGTTGCTCTCTTTGAGGAGAACTTCTAACATACTTCACAGCATCACGAATTCGAGCTACCAACCCTTTGATATCATTCAAGCCATCTTTCATAATTAAATTAATAATATGGGCACAACACCTCATGTGAAAAAACTCACCTTTTAAAATAAAGGCATCACTCTTTTTAGAGAACTTTCTTTTCAACTATGGAAGTGCAACAACATTAGCACTTGCATTATCAACAGTTAGTGTACACAATTTCTCTGTACCCCAATCAATCAAGCATGCCTCTATTGCCCTCCCAATTGCCTCACCTTTGTGGCTAGATATTACACAAAAGTTTAAAATTCTTTTGTGTAATTTCCAGTCCTTAACGATAAAATGTGCTATAAGGCATGTGTAGGAAACATTTTGTAGGGAAGTCCATGAATCAGTAGTGAGACAAATTCTTTGATGTGATTTTATGAACAAATTCCTCAATTTCTTTTTCTCATTACTAAACAATGCCACACAATCCCTTGCCACTGTAATGCGTGAAAGTTTTTTGAAATTAGGTTGTATCACACTACAAAAGTGATGAATTCCTTCACACTCAACAAACCTAAAAGGTAACTCATCTTTGACTATCATTTGAGCAAATGCATCTCTGCATGCATCTTGTTCAAATTTCCACAGTCCAAGACTATTTTCAGAACCTTCTTCTTTAATTGATTGAAATGACAAAGTTTTTTGTTTCTTCATCTCATGATTATAAGGACACTTTGAGCAATTGACAACATGTTTTCTCAAAGAACTAGTCCCATTCTCACTCAACCATGCATAAGTGTTATGATAGTAATTACATTTAGCCCCTTCAGGTTTCTTGCACCCTTCCTTATAAATTTTAGTGAAATGAAGCCAAACCTCTGAACCTTTTCGACTCTTTTCTTTAGGAGGACGTACATTTCTTAGAGGAAGACGTAGAAGCATCAAGTTTATGCTCCACATGGGTGCTACTATTACCAAGATTTGCAATCTCTTCAACACTTGACATCTAACACGAAACACAAATACACAAATATATCAAATGATAGAATATATGATAATCCCCAAAAAATCCCTAACTCAGCAAAATCCCTAAACTTCAAAAATTCCTAAAAAATCAAAAACGCCTTAGCTTGAAAAATCTCTAAAATTAAAAAAAAAATCCCTTGATAAAATCATAAACATTTGTGCATAAATAATAATAATAATAAATAAATAAAAACCTAAATCAAATTGTTAACAAAAACCCTAAACAAAAATAAATCTTTCAAAACAATTAAATTAAAAATCTAAATCAAAACGGGAAAGAAATATATATATATATATATATATTTAAAAATAAAAATAAAAACCTACCCAACACAAAAATGAAAAAATTACTCACTGATCTCGTAGAATAAGACAAGGTAGGGCTGCGATTGTGCAAGAGTGAATGGAGGTCCTAATAGTAACAATGGTGGAAGGTAGTGTTGTGATGAGATTGAGAGAGATAGAGATGGTTGATGGCATGACTGGCATGTTGTAGGCTGTAGTATTCAAATAAGAGGAGAGTGTGAGAGAAAAGAAAAGATGAAGATGGAATCGAGGAGACGAATTTGGAGGCCAAGAAACGAGACCCTTCGAGTTCTCTTTCAAGAATGGAGAAGTGTGTGACGTGAATTTATGAAGGGCTACTGTTGTTTATTAAATATTATATATATACACCTTTTAAAATTCGGTTCAGTTCGGTTTGAAGTTTTTTCATAAAATCCACTAACTGAATTGTTTTTACGGTTCTCAATATTTCTTGAACCGAAACTGAACCGATTCTTAATAGAATCGAACCAAACCGTACAGTTCGGCCTGGTTCGGTCTAGATTACTGATTTGAACAGATTTTTGAACAGCCCTAGGTACTATTTTGATAATTTAAATAGTGTATTTTATAGGTACCAATATATCATTAATAGAAAAACGAGATCGATTCAACAACTCTAGCATTTTTTTTTATCACGTTTGTTTTTAACTAAGACACAAGATATGCATGTGGGTTCCACCACTCAACGGGATCCTACCTATTATTGTATTTAATTGGTGTGTTAATGGGTATACTAATTAGTGTTTATAGCATTACTGTTTTAAAATAGATATTTTTTTAAAGACAAACTCAATTAAAATAAAAAAGTTACAATTATTTGATCAACATAATTATTTTTTCATTAATGATATATATGGAGAGTCTTATAAAATGAACAATTTAGATCATAAAAATAAAACTTGTGATTGGCTCTATGATCCTTTTGAGTTCTTCAAGATTAAATTTGAAGTTAAAAAAATGTGAAATTAATTTCATATTTTTAAATTAAAATATTAAGATGTATAAAATATATAAAAATATTTCATTTAAATTTTAATATCTAAAATTTATAAAAAAAAATTAAGTAATTTATACCTCTCATAAAAGATAATACATAAATAATCAATTTAAATAAATTAATTTTTCTAGTACAAATATTTTATTTTAACATTTGACCAGTGTTTTGTATGGTCTTTTTTCTACAGTATGATGATAAGATTTCCCTGTTCACTTGTAGTGGAATCCAGGTGGTGCTTTTACAAAAAAGATAATACATAAATAATCAATGTAAATAATTCAATTAATTTATATTTTTTCATATAAATATTTTATTTTAACATCTGACCCGTGTTTTGCATGGGCTTTCTTTCATAATTGGGATCCTCCCCTTGAGCCCCTCCTTCATTCTCTCCTTGCAGGGGCCTTTGGGTCCACTTTGAGGCACAGTTTTGATAATCCGAACCGTTCATATTTTTAGATTTATTCAGTATATCATACCTGTAAAAAATTAAGTTGATCGAATATCATAAAATATGTGTTCGGAAAACTGTTTATTAAAAAATAGTTTGTAGTCCCAATTTTCTGAACGCATACTTTCGGATATCCGATCAACTTGATTTTTTACAGGTATAATATACTGAATAAATCTAAAAATATGAACGGTTCAAATTATCAAAACTGGGCCTCAAAGTGAACCCGAAAGTCCCTGCAAGGAGGGAATGAAGGAGGGGCTCAAGGAGGGGATCTGGACTCTTTTTTTCTACCTAGTGTAATGATATATTTTTTAATAAACAGTTTTCCGAACACATACTTTATGATATTCGATCAACTTGATTTTTTACAGGTATAATATACTGAATAAATCTAAAAATATGAACGGTTCGGATTATCAAAACTGGGCCTCAAAGTGGACCCGAAAGCCCCTGCAAGGAGGAAATGAAGGAGGGGCTCAAGGAGGGGATCTGGACTCTTTTTTTTCTACCTAGTGTAATGATAAAATTTCCGCGTTCACTTGTAGTGGAATCCAGGTGGTGCTTTTACAAACGAGTGTGGAGACTGTTGGAGTGCACTTGTCTCATTCTCTAATCACTCGGTTTCTTTCCTTTTTTTTCTTTTTTTTTTCTTTTTTTTTTCGGTTTGGATTGGCTATTATCAATTTAATTTTTTTTATTTATATTAAAATAATTCTCAATGTCATTTTTGTTTAAAGTCGAAATTACGGTGCCTTGAATGTCATTCAATCCTGTTTAAAAAAAAAAAAGAAAAAAAAGAATGTCATTCAATAAGTTGAGGTGTTGCTAAATTTATTCCAATTCCAAGAGTTTAGATTGAATTAGCATTAATAGGCTGTAATTGAATTATAAATTTAAGTATGGATTATGAATTGATCCAAATGTTCAAATTGAATTAGTATCAATTTTTGTTTTAAAATACATACATGAATTTATAAGTCAAACACATCCTTGATAGACTTAATTCTTCAATAATTTTATGGATTCAAAAAATTTACATAAAAAATTATTTAGGAAAAAGTAGTTTAAATTGAATCGAGATCAATTTATGTTTTTAAATTTTTATCTAAATTTATGATCAAAACATGGCCTTAATTCTAATTCTTCAATAATTTTATGTAGGCGTGGACGTTGTGTCGTATTGGGTCGTGTTCGCGTCGTATCATCTCAGATTCGTATCAAAATCACCTCAACAATAACCCAACCCATTTATTATTTCGTGTTATCATGTCGTTTCATTTTTAATCCATGTCCGATTCATGTCGTGTTAATGTGTCATGTCGAAAAATTCCACTATTAACTAAAAATATCAAATGTATGAAAAAAAATTAAAAATTTATTCACAAGTTAAATTTAATGAAACTAATCTCTATTAAATAAAATTATTTATAAAAATATTTAATTTCAACTATATTTTATCTTCTTAATTTATAAAAATTATATTTTTTACTTAACTCAAATAATAGACAAAAAATAATATTAAAAATGTGTAACTAAGTCTTCATTATATAGGTTATCCGTGTCAATTTCATGTTATATAGATTTGACAGTAACCTGGTCTGTTTAATATTCGTGTTATTGGGTCGTATCATATACGTGTTTGTGTCAGTAAATGGTCAACTTTAACCCGCTAATTTCGTGTACGGTTCGAGTCTTCGTGTCTCAAACTCCCGTCCTTAATTTTATGGGTCCAAAAAATTTACCTAAAAATTTATTTATGAAAAACAATAATGTTAATGTGTGGTTCATATGAATTTTACACGGTTTGGCAAGATGGTTGAGACTAATTTAATTCACTAAAAGATAAAATTGACTAAAAAATTAATATGATAAAATATCACATCTAAATCATAATTATTTTATTTTTTCACTCAAAAATCTACAAAAGAGTTAAAAGTTCATTCAAAACAAAACTTTTTTAACAAATCTAAAATAGTCAAAAAAAACCAAACTAAAAAAATTCTTTCCAAACAAAGTGTGTGTCTCATCATATAAGATTTTAATTTGGATCACTTTTTTTTTTGGGGATAAATTTTGTAGATCCATAGTTTTATTAGTAATGTTAATGACATTTAAACTTGCATACGAGTCCCATCACTCCGCATCTAGCCTACCAAATATTGTGCAATTGGTAATTTATTTTCATAATATCAATTACAAAATTATAAATTTTTGTTATATGAATTATAAAATTTTAAATATTTTATTACGCTAATTTGTAATAAGATTGCACATTTTATA